ACTGCATTATCTGTGCTCTTATATGCTACCAATCACAGTGCTCCTTCAGCTCCTTTATACTAGAATTCCTTCATTTGTAAAGCAAAGTTTAGGTTGGTGTTTTGCATTTATCACAGCACTTGTTCATTAGAGATAGATTGTGCCCTTAGGCATAGCTGTGAATAAGGGTCTTTGCATTAAAAAGCAGCACCATCCCAGGAACATCCCAAGGAGGAAGTGTGATTCAGAGAATCACAATTCCCCCACATGCATGCACTCCCCTCTTGCTCCAAGGGGAGGGGGAAAGGGAGTGATTTACTTCACCTTTGCAAGGTTGCAGTTGACTGCCCCATGTACGTTCAGTTTAGAGCAGCGTGTCTGGCTGAGCGCCTAGCCCCGCCCGGCGCTGCCGGCAAGGCAATCTGAAGCTACAGGGGAGGGGGAGAAGCGGGGGAGGGGCTTTGGCTGCCACTGCTAGCCCCACCCCCTCACGGAGTGCGCAGCCCCCAGCGCTGCCGGCGCGGCGATCTGAGGCTGGGGGGGGGAAGCCAGGGAGGGGCTTTGGCTGCCGGAGAGGCCCCAATCCGAGAGGCTCAGTCGGGCCCGGCCCCGCTGTCAGCCGCTTTTCGGTCTTTAAATAGCCGTCCGGAGGGAAATCCCAGACATTTTTAGATGTTTACAAATCCCCCCGGACGGCTATTTAAAGACCGAAAAGCCGGACGTGTCCGGGAAAATCCGGACATATGGTAACCCTAATCTTTAGCCTTAAATGCTTGGATCTTCAGACATACTTTTTTTAAAATAAATTCTTCAAAAGACCACCCTTATCTAAAATACACATTTTAATTACTATAGTAAAAAAAAAAAACTTGCTTCCAAAGTCTTCCTGTCCTTTCTATCCATCCATTTCTCCCTTCACCACCCCCCCACCCCCATTGAAGGAAGTAACAGCCCTTTGCTTCCAGATAGCTGAACAGAGTTTCCTTTTCTTTACTTCTGACTATCTGATGAACTAGTTTTAAGCAAAATCTGTACTTTAGTAAGATCTAAAATCCTTGGAAACATATTTTTTAAAGTTGGTGAAATTTCATAAACATGTGTATTGTTATGGAGATCTCACACAGTAAATTAGTGTTCCCTTTTTCTAAAAGCAATGAACATTATTATGAACACACTAAACCTCTGTGACTGATTAATTTAAAATAATGTCTGTTTCAATGAGTTAAATATTTAGTAATCTGGAATGATTACTTTATGAAGGTTTAAGAGTACATTTAAAATATAAAATCAGCTTAGAAATACTGATTAAGAAAATGTAAAACAGAGAAGAGCTGCATCATGTATTCCATAATATTTAAAGTTGTATTCAGCAAGACAGCTGACTCACCCTTACTACAAAGTTTTTGCAAATAAACGTCTGACAAACTGTGACTCTCCGCCACCATGAGGTGGGCCGGGCGTCTTGTTGTTCTTTCTGCCTTGTCCCTCCGCCCCTACCCTCACCCCCACCGGACTGCAAGCTCACGCTGCTGTCAGGCATAGGGACACCAATTTAATAATACTGCATAGGGCTTGCGGGGGCAGTGAGACCCAGCCATGGAGGAGCTGGCACGGCGCAGTGGGGCAGGAGCCCTGCAAAGGCGGCGGCGCCGCTAGCGGAGAGCAGCTGCACCTCCCGCCCCTCCTGCCCAGGCTGCGGCATGGCACCCCCCCAAACTGCAGCAGATGCATGCGGGCAGAGGCCCCCGTGTGTCTCCCAGCTTCCCCCCTCACCACGCTCGGGCTCTGCGGCTCCCAGGCATGTGAGCCGCTGCCAGGGCGCGGGGCCCTGAGATTGCTCCAGAAAGGGGAGGGGCAGCGGCAGCTCACACTCCCAGGAGCCGCAGATCCTGAGCGCGGCGAGGGGAGAGCCGGGGGGGTGCACGGGGGCCTCTGCCCATATGCATCTGCTGCAGGAGCCCCCAGAAGGCAGCTCCTCCCTGTGGAGCTGCTGCAGCGGCCCAAGCCCGGCAAAGCCAGTGAGTGGACTTGAGGCAGGGGCCACGGGGATGGGGTGGGAGGGCTCGCGGGGGGGCTGTGCACCCTCCAGGGAAGTTCAGGGGGCAGGGAGGGGGGAACCTGGTCCGGGGAGCAGACCCTGGGCACGGCTGGCCACTGGGGTCTATAAAGGCTCATTGGGATTTGTCCCTCAATGAACCATTGTTGTGGGGGGGTGGGAGGGAGCACAAGGTGGAAGTTTCGCCTAGAGTGCAAAATATCCTTGCACCAGCCCTGCCTACCCAGGTCTGTGATGAGAGATTGAGATCAAAGTCCATCCCAAACCGTGCTCTGCCACTGCTACCAGTCATGCCCTGTTCCTCCTCTCCCATTTAACTCCACTTTGAAAGCCCCCTCTGTGCACATGGTGGGAGAGACAATTTACTTCAAACCTATAGTCTCTATATGCACTTTTTCTGATCAGAAATGGGGATCGTAGGACTGGAAGGGACTTCCAGCCAAGGGGAAGGAAGGGATGCAGAGCTGGGACAGAGTAGTGGGGTCGGTGCAGAGCCTGATCCAAAGAAGGGGTGCAGGTGTGGCAAAGTCGGGTAGAAGCAGTGGGACAGGTGCAGTGCTGGGGGATGGGAGCAGAAGGGAAGGGGGGGTGCATGCAGAGCTAGGGGTAGGAGCAATAGGGCAGGTACAGCGCTGAGCGGTAGGAGGGAGGCGGTGCAGAGCCGGGACACAGCAATGGACGGGGGTGCAAGGCGGAGGCAGTGCTGGCGGGGAAGGAGAGGAGCCTGCCTGGGCGAGAGGGGCGCGGCGCGAGAGGCCGGGAAGTCACCTCCCGGGCCAGCTAAGTCCTCCACGCGGAGGCCAGAGGGCTGGTCACAGGGTGCTGCCCCGACCCGAGCCGCTTGAGGCCCGCGGCCGCCAGTCACCCGCGCCCGAGGCCCCAGACTCTGCTCAGGGATCCGCGCGGCCCCGCCCAGTCCCCGCTACTCACGTGCTGAGTCCCCCAGCGGCAGGGCAGGGCAGGGCCCCGCCCGCTCCCGGGCCGCGGACGAGTCCTGCCCCCGCCCCTCCCCGTGGCGGTTGCGGGCGTTGTATTCTCCTCTCGAAGTTCGTTAGTGCCGTCTCCAGGCAACGGCAGCCCCCTTCTCCCCCCCCCTCCCCGCGCGAGCGCGGGCAGCCAGGGAGCGTCTGCAAATCCCCGGTTCCTGCCAGGAGGTGACTCCTCCGCGCCGGGGGCGGCCCAGTCCCATGTCCCTGAGCGCTGACCCGCGGGGAGCGGGGTCATTGGCTGCACAGCGCCGAGACGCCCTTCCTCCGCGGAGCCGGACAGTTGTTGTCGTCCCAGTCCTACCGGCACTGTCCCCATGCGGGCTCCCATCACTGCCTGTCCAGCTTGCTGTGCTGGAGTGGGGGGGTGGCTGCGTGATGTTGCCGGCCAAGGCAGAAGGGCCAATATGAGGAACTAGGGCCCCAAATTCCTCTCCACCAACCTGCACCAGCTAGGATTGCCAACTTTCTAATCACACAAAACCAAACACTCCTGTCTCGCCCCTTCGCCGAGGCCCTAGGGTGCAGGAGGGGGCGCCGAGTAGGAGGTTGGGGTGAGGGCTCAGGGTAGGGGTGCAGGCTCTGGGATGGGGATGAGGTGTTTGGGATGCAGGAGGGGGCGAGGGATTGGGGTGGGGGGGGGATGCGGGCTCCAGGACAGAGTTTAGGTGCAGGAGGGGACTCTGGGCTGGGGCAGGAGGTTGGGATGCAGGATCCCACTGGTGCTTACTGTGGCTTATAGGAAGCGGCCACCAGCCACCACCCCTGCAGCTCCCATTGGTTGCGATTCCCAGCCAATGGGAGCTGCGGAGCCGGCGCTGGGGGCAGCGCACGGAGCTTCCCTGGCCGCCCATGCCCCTAGGGACCGCAGGGACCTGGCAGCCGTTCCGGGACTCATGCGGGGCCAGGGCAGGCAGGGAGCCTGCCTTAGCCCTGGGCCCCTGCTGCGCCGCCAACCGGACTTTTAAGGACCGGTTGGCAGTGCCAACTGGAGCCGCCAGGGGCCCTTTTCAACCGGGCATTCCGGTCGAAAACCGGACGCCTGACAACCCTAGCACCAGCCTAAGCATCAGGATTCTCTTCCTAGCTCTGCCACTGATCTCTGGGGCTCTCGGGTTTTTCAACTGGGGATAATGATACTGACCCATCTTTGTAAGGCACTTAGAATTCCAGAGCTGTAAAGCACTATACTGTGCAAGTACTAAATACTGTTATTTTACATCTCTCTGTCCAGCATTCAGCGCACACGCTTTGAATCACCCGCTTGTCATTCTGCATGTTTGTTTCCCTCCCTTGCCTGCTGTGCTGCCAATGCACAGCCTTTCCAAATAGTAGAGTGTGTCTAAAACTTGGTGCTCCAGGAAAAGAAAGAGATTAATGTTATCTTTACCATATTGAAACAGAATTGATTTTAAACAGGCACAGTAATACTGCCACCACAAGTGATCAAAAGATCATGAGCCTCCCCTCCCACCCTGCAATTCAACAGATTGATTTAAAAATCATGAGGTTTAAAAAATAATATATTTTGAGTCCTTTTTATTTGCCCTCTGGTTCTTCAGCCTTTAGGGTTTGTGGTTCCAAGCTTTTTTGCCACAACTATGAGCCTAGAAATCTGCTTTAAAAAAAACAAAAAACAAACAAACAAACAAAAGCTGCATGTCTTGTGTACTCACATGACTCCTGAAGCTGCAACTTTTAAGAAAATGTGAAATATTCTGAGACTTAGAATAAAATTGTGAGAGTTGGTAACACTGGCAAATCAACTTACAAATAATTTAGGCAACTTCGTTTCCTTGCCTATATTGTTTATAACACTTTACATTGTTAAACATGATCTATTCTGGTTTTTAGAGGTAGTGAAGGGGATTTCTAAAAGTGCTAAATACTGCTTTAACTCTGCTCCCACTAAAGTCTTTTTTTGATTAACTTAAAAGTTTGGTTGATAAAGATGGATGTAATATCTTCAACCTTCTAGCGCATTGGGCAGGTGGGCGTAATGTGCTCCCCAGCCCTGGAGCACCTGGCGGGCGGCGCACGCTCCCCAGCCCTGGAGCACGAGGTAAGCAGTGGGCCCTCCCGCCCCAGAGCACCAGGTGGTGCGGCACCAGCATCCCCAGCCCTGGAGCGCTGGGCGGCACAGCCCCAGCCACCCCAAGTCCCAGCCGCCCTAGCAGGCTTTCCAGAACTTAGAGCAGCTTGCCTGGGCTGGGGTCAACTAGCGGCAAGCAGGAGGGGGTCTCGGGGGCAGGGCCACACATTGTCGAGGATTATCCAGCCCTCTGACTACTACCCCATGCTACTCATCCATGTAGGCACAAATGATACTGCACGGTGTGACACTGAGCGGATCAAGAGTGACTACAGGGCTCTGGGAGTACAGGTGAAGGAGTTTGGAGCGCAGGTGGTATTCTCTTCGATTCTTCCTGTCAAAGGTAGGGGCCCGGGCAGAGACAGATGCATCATGGAGGTGAATGCCTGGCTGCGAAGATGGTGTCGCCAGGAGGGCTTTGGCTTCCTAGACCACAGGATGCTATTCGAGGAAGGACTGCTAGGCAGAGATGGCGTTCACCTTTCGAGGAGAGGAAAGACCCTATTTGGACACAGACTGGCTAACCTAGTGAGGAGGGCTTTAAACTAGGTTCGACGGGGACAGGTGAGCAAAGCCCACAGGTAAGTGGGAAACATGGAGACCGGGGAGATGGGTCGGAAACGAGAGGGAGTGTGGACTAAA